TGAGAACCATGTGAGTCTTGGAGCAGCAAGCAGTTTGTATAAGGACCAATGATAAAATGATACTCATTCTTGTTTAGTTTCTGTTCTGTGTGGATCTACAAGTAACTTGGGAAGGAGAGGGTTTATTTCATCCTACAGGTTACCATCCATCTTGATGGGAAGTCAGGGCAGGAACATGAAGCAGGAATTACTGAGGGATGTTGCTTACTGGTTTACTTCAAGGTTCATGCCCAACTGTCTATCTAATACAGCCCTCCTTTCCTGCCTAGGAATGGTACCACCTATGGTGGGCTGGCCTCAGTTACATCAATAAGAAAATGCCCCACAAACATGCTACAGCCCAATCTGATGGAGGAAAGTTCTTGAGCTTAAGTTCTTTCTTCCCACATGTGTCAAAGTTGACAACGAAGATGAGCCATTGGAGGTGTGCAGGGTTCTCTGCAATGCAGAGAGAGAGGGCTGGGGGAGGGAGGTTGGCATTAGTTAAACACATGCTTAATGGCAGACACTACTAAGAACAGACAGAAGTATCAGGTTTACAGTATCTGATGGCAGGGTTTACTGGTCAACAGCTATGGCCATGGTCCCAGGCAGGGCCAGCTTCACCCTTTAGAGAAGGGCTCTTGAAATAAAATAATGAAGAAGGCTATGGAAATGGCTCAGTTGGTAAAGTGCTTGCTGCACAAGCATGAAGTCCCGAGTTCACATTCTTACCACATAGGTAAAATGTCTGATGTGGTACCTCATGCTTGAATATCAGTGTTGGGGAGGCAGAGGCAGGAGGAACCCTGTAACTCACTCAATTTAACCTACTGGTAGAGTTGCAGATTGGTAAACTCAGGCTTCATCTTCGCCATAGTAAATGTGTGTCTGGCTGTAGTGACAGCTCATCTGTCAAGCCAGTATAAGAAGATGCTGCCTAAGGATGAGGCTATGGGAAAGGATGAGAGGATTGGGAGAGAGGAAGTCAAAAAACAGCTCACACTCCTCCATGCGGTTCAAGCTTAGCAAGAGACAAAAACACTGATTCTAAATGGTTTGTTTTCATTCCTTTTTGTTGAAAAAAGTCCTCTTTTTTTTTGTTTGTTTGTTAAGATAGTTAGAAAGGCTGAAATTGAACACAAATAAACAAGTTCCCTTGGGTCTAAAAGCAAGCTTTTGTTTTGTTTTGTTTTTGTTGTCGTCGTCGTTGTGGAGGGTTCTCCCAGGTTTCCAGCCCATGTCAATGTTGCCGGGGTGATAAGCCCCATGCTTTTGGATTTACCATAAAACCCTCTCTAAAATATTTCATAATCTGGTAACACTGGGCTTTGGCTAGATCTAGCGAGTGTGTGGGTGGGTGGTAGTGAGAGGGACTCTGAAGAACGCTCTTGGGACCCTCTACTGTATTCTGGGTATTTACTGTATAGTGGAGCCATTGGGAGACCTCCTAAGGAACTCCTTATGAGTCTTGCTTTACAAAATTCTAGTACAGAGTGACTGCTTTTCACTGGCTGAATAGTGCTGGCTGAAAATCTCTCCAAAAACAACCTGGTTGACTGTAAGGCGCAGTAGTAAACATTCTCAGAAAAGGGGAAACTGAGCCATCAGGTGATTACATTGCCCTGGGTCACCCTAATAAATGTATGTCACAACAGAGCATCCTGACTCTTAAGAAGGTCCAACTAGGGTACCACAATAAGGAAAAGATAGGAGAAGTTAGAAAATGGTGTGGATTTGGCCCATGGGAGACTCAGTGTGTGCCAATTAGGATGACAAGACTTAGTGCCCACCATGGATTTTTTCAAACAGGACTCTGTGAGTGTTAGCAAGAGCTGGGGAAAGAAGAGGCTTTGTCAGGGTGGTGGGCAAACTCTGGACTGTTGCGTTAATAAGGACACGAATCTGTTGTCTGGAGGCACAGGTCCCAGGCCTCCAGTCAGTGTTTGTGGGAGGAATTTGCAATGGAGGCCTCAGACTAATGCTGCCTCGATTTGATAACTATCATTTTCCTGGTTGCCCTGATCCTAGTGTGGGAGGCTAGCCAGGAATGCAGCAGGGCCCAGCCAGGCCCTGCACTTTGCCTGAAGTGGTGGAGGTGACTTTACCTTCTTAGACACACGGGCCCCATCAGCTGTGGGGGAGGTGCCTGAAGGAGGTGGGAGGGAGGGAGGGAGTGACTTCATCTGTTTAATGAAAAATGACCTGTACGTCTCTCTGAACCTGGAAACTCCCCATCAAATTGGGGCCAAAGAAAACAGGATTAGGCCATATTTCTTCTAGGATGGCTCCTCTGCATCTCCTCATGATGAGTTAAACTGGAGGAACACGGTGAGGGGGGGCAGTCTCTCTTCATTGTCTCTGCAGAGAAATCAGAAATGTTTCAGGGGTTAATTGGACAGGCTTTCCCCTGTCTCCCCCACGTCTCCTATAGGTAGGTAGACCTTCTTTCCCTCTGACTCTATTGCCCAGCAAGTGGGCATCCCATTCCTTTGGTATATGGTATCCATAATGACATAAAGTTTGCCATATGGCATTCAGATAAAAGAGCATTTGGTCTGACAAAGCAGCGTCCAGCCTAATTCCCTCTCCCCTCTGACCTCCATAGGGAAACGGTGTCTGCCCCGAAGCAGAGGGTTTTAAAAACCACAACACACATTTTGCCAGAGTGGGCAACACTGACATGACATTCTCTGTGTGACTTGCTGGGGTGATCCTTTCCAAGAGCTTTGTGCTCAGGTTTAGGAGCATGGGGACTATCTTTCTCTGTCCAGTTTAAAACTGGCAAGGGGAGCCATCAAATCGAAACCACCTCAGGATCTCCCTTTTACAATCTCTTTAGTGCCCTGGTTCTTTAAGTCACTCTTTTAACAGGAGAATGTAGTAAATAAATCCACGGGGCTGTTTTCACTTTAATGCAATGTATATTTATTGTAAACAATAATATACAAAAAAGAAAGGAAGGAAAGAAAGGTGAGTTCCACAGAAGACAAGTTTGGAGGGGGAAACAAACAAAACACAAACACAAACCAAACCTTACCTACAGAGAAAATATGACTTAAATGTCAGGTTTCTTAAGTTACAGAAATACTTTTTAAAAGGTCTGTTTTTATACAGAAATCAAAAGATGCCATATTATAAGAATGCTTTAAGGTTTTATTCTACTGACTTCTAAAACTGTTAATATATCTTTTTTTTTTAAATTAAAAAAAAAAGTCTGCTGTTGTTTAAAAACAGCAATCCTCATACTCTCCAGCCACAGCAGTAAGAATTAAGGTCTGTCCGATGTCTCTCTGCAGGAGAGTAGGCAGGGGGCTACCCATGACACATGCTTGCAGGGGCTTGCGTTGTTCCTGGTCACAACACGTGAATACTTCCACATACAGTCAGGCAGCCCAAAGGCCTGTGGCAGAAAACACTGCGAAAGACTCAGTGATGTACATACTGCATTTGTAACGTCTCATTTGTACAAGGCAGAGAGAAACAGGCTTCCAGTTTGTTATCAACAATAAAAACAACAAAGGAAAAAAAAAAACACAAGACAGACAAAAAGCATTTGTACAAATCTAGAATGAAGAATTCAAAGAGACTTGCTTTTAATAATAAAAAAAGATTAAAGATAAATTAAAAAAATGGTTACAGTTAAGAACATAATTTAACAGATGACCATACCCTTTGAGGAAGGCGCCAACAATCTACCTTAAAGACAGTAAATTAAAAAAAAAAAAAAGGAAGGAGATTTTTTTTCTTAAAAAATGAAAACTCCTCCTTACAAAATAAATAATTTTAGCACGTGGAATGTCTTGAAGGTTAAACGCTGGTGTTCAGGGAGGCACAGGTGACAGTCTGAGCAGGCACACTCCAGCATCTGCTGTGCACATGGGGCCCAGGCAGTCAACCAGGGGGCAATGTGCTTGGGCACTTAAGGGCTGCTTGAAAAATCTTCCCCAAGAAAATTTGGTCTCCTTCGCTTGCCGTTGGCTTTCCTTCTGAGGCTGCAGCCAGCAAGCAAAGGCACAGTGAATGTTCTAGGAACAGCATTTATATTTTCCCAGCAGCGGGGGTTTTAAGGCTCAAGGTGTTTTTCTTCTTGTTTAAAAAAATATATATGATAAAGCTCACCAATGTTCTCTATACTGTTTATTCTCCTTATTGCAAAATAAGGCTTTCTTCTCCTTTCTTTCTCTTTCTTTCTTTCTTTCTTCCTTCCTTTCTTTCTTTTTTTTTTTTTTTAAGGCAGCTGCTCCTGAAGTCCGAGAGCCTGGAGACTTAACCAAAGTTCACCCCCCCAAAAAAAACTGATGATGTAACAAAATTCTGTGTATTTTTTATGTTACTATAACAACACACTTTTTTCTTTTTCTTTTTTTCTGTTTTTTTTTTGTTTGTTTTTTGTTTGTTTAAAGAAAGTAAATCTGTACACAAATATTCTGGTTGCAAGGAAGGCTAGGGGACACTGTTGAACTACAAGTAGTTAAGCTGTTGGAAAAATAAGAGCATTTAATTTTTTATCTAAAATATGTATAAATCCCCTCAAAATGGTAATGAATCATACACAGTACATACTAAAAGTATTTAAAATAGAGAATATTCCTCACAGAGGACTTTTTTTTTCTTTAATTACGGCTAAAAAATAATTACAGAGTCCAAACAGGCAGGGAGATTCTCCAGTCGTCCACCACGCTGACCCTGAAGGAACCAAGTCCTTCCTCGATGATTCAGGCGGGTCCATCTGGCCACGAGTGGCCTGGCCATTTGCAATACGCTGGCATGTGCTCAGTAATGTCTTAATGTCTCTCGCCTGAAATCTCAGCACTAGTTACCTTCGCTTACATGTCTTTAAGAAATAAGGACAATGACAAAAAAAAAAAAAAAAAAAAAAAAAAAAAAAAAAAAAAAAGAAAAGAAAAAGAAAATGAAAAAAAAAAGTGTCCAAAGGAATTTCAATTGGTTCTTGATCTCTTCTTCAGCTGTTTCTTTTTTAATGATCAGCTCCCTCTCCATCCCTCTTCAAGGGCTCCTCAGGGTCTGGTGAGCTGTGTGTAGACCGGTTGTTCCCAGTGCTGCGGGCTGTGGGTTTGCGGGATGGAAGGGACTCCCGAGGTGTCAGCGATGGGGGTGTACATGGGGCGCTGCGCGGGGTTCATGTAGGTGAATGTGGAGTAGAGCCCCGAGCCCTGGCCGGCCGCGTGGCTGTAGTAGGAGCCGGAGTTCTGGTGGTCTGTGTAGTCGTACTGCGAGCGCGTGATGGGCGGGTAGGAGGGGCTGTAGTGCGGAAGGTTGAAGGGACTGTAGGCGATCTGCTGCGGGGAGGGCTGCTGCTGCTCGCTGTAGTGGCTGGGGCTCAGCTGCTCCGTCTTGATGTGTGTTCTCTGGGACTGGCCCGGCTCGCTGCTCAGTGTAGTGAGCGTGTGTGCCTGCTGCTGCTGCGGGGGTGCCTGCTGCTGCTGCGGGGGTGCCTGCTGCTGCTGCGGGGGTGCCTGCTGCTGCTGCGGGGGTGCCTGCTGCTGCTGCGGGGGTGCCTGCTGCTGCTGCGGGGGTGCCTGCTGCTGCTGCGGGGGTGCCTGCTGCTGCTGCGGGGGTGCCTGCTGCTGCTGCGGGGGTGCCTGCTGCTGCTGCGGGGGTGCCTGCTGCTGCTGCGGGGGTGCCTGCTGCTGCTGCGGGGGTGCCTGCTGCCCCTGAGATTGCCCTGCAGGCAATAAAAGGGAAGAAAGACAAACCGTAAAAAATCAACAAGGGCTGTGCAAAACCTCTGGTCTTAGGAGTCCCCCGGGGAATCTCCCTGGTTGCTAAGGTGTCATTAGGACCCGAGCCGGAGCAGAAGGCGGGCTGTACTAACGATAAGTCGCCGAATGATTAACCCGCAGGTACACACTAGGCAAGCTCCTTTTATCAGCGGAGTGGTCTGAGGTCCCAAGGGTCCGGAAGGCTAAATTGCTACCTGTTGAAGAGTGTGTGCTTTGGGGGTGAGCCGCAAAGAGAAAAGTGGGCAAGTTTCGTGAAGTCATTAATACATGTTACCTTGCAATAAAGAATCCAGTTCAGGAATCACAGGTTGAGGGGCGTGTGTGGTGTGTGTGTGTGTGTGTGTGGTGCGCCCGTCTATTTCGGTGGGTCCTGGACAGAGAGGGAGTGCAGGGAATGCTGTTTCCCCACCCCAGGGACCTCAAAGTCCCCACCCAGATCCTGGGGAATGGGGGAGGGGGTGTTAAGGGTGTGCCCGGTGGGGCCCAGAGTGGCTAGGCCTAGTAGATCTCTTGCCCTTTACTTACCGGAGTGCTCTCCCGGGGAGTGCACCTCGCTCATCCCGGAGGAGGAGTGCGGGGAGTCGGCTTGCAGCGCCTTGAAGATGGCGTTAGGAGAGATGTGAGTCTGTTCCGTGGCCTCCTCGGCTTCTGCCTGCCCGTTCTTCACGGACTTTCTCCGCCGTGGCTGGTACTTGTAATCCGGGTGGTCTTTCTTGTGCTGTACGCGCAGCCGCTCTGCCTCTTCCACGAAGGGTCTCTTCTCGCTCTCGTTCAGCAGTCTGGGAAGAGGGGCGGAAGAAAAGAGGGAGAGGGGGATCAGTGAAACCCCAGGAGCGGTCATGTCCCCACCCCTCCTTCCCGCACTTCCCCCCCTCCCTCTATTCTGCTTGCCATCCTCCACCGAGGCTCAGAACTTTCCTTTCTTTCTTCTAAGTGCTTGGAGTCGACCTGAACGGTCACTCTTCGCCCCGCCCCCTCCCCTGGCCTCCTATTTTGGAAACCCTGAAGATGAAAACAGCTCCCTGCCGAGGCGCTCTAAACGCCTTTGCTACCGGAGCGGTCCACCCCCTCCCAACACCCTGTAAAACCTTTCTGAAAACCCACTTACCACTTACAACGCAAGAAGCTCACTGAGTCCGTCCACGCCCCTACCGATTCTCAGTAGCTTTTCCCTAATTCCTGCCTGGGTCACCTCCAGCCCAACTTTCCCTTTATCCCTTCTTCCCAGGAGAGAGCAGCTTGGTGTGTGTGTGTGTTTCCTCAAATTGTTCCTTTCT